TTATGTCCTCTTCTGCGTCTCGCCTCGGCTTTTCCCTCCGAAGAGGGTCTGACGACCTTCTCCATTTGAGCACAATGTACGCCGTGTGCAAAACCTTTTCTGCTAGCTCGAGAATCGGTTTTCACTGAACGGTTCACATTGCACTGCTTTGATACACGGCCTACCTTGCAAGGTGACACATATATGCGCCCTACTGTCGCTCTTTTGTTATTTGTTCTGCCTAGATGTCCTCTGACATCTACTTCTTCCCCAACTATGGACACTTTGACGCCTAAGTTACTGAGGGCATTAGTTCCCAATATGATCTCGTCGTTCTTACTTGGGCTTATATAAAAAGGCACCAAGCTTCAACTCCCTCCTTTGAGCTCTGTCCCAATGTATACCGCTCCAAGAAATTCCATCCTGTTAGTGGATGCATCAAAGACTGGTGGAAGCTGAGACTTTGCTACAAATCTCAACGCGTCCACATTTACACCTCCATCCTGTGCTTTTGCTGAAATCTCTACGGGTACCGCACTAATCATCGATCCTGTATCTATTAATGCTGGATGCCTACCGCCCAGTAGACTCAATTCCATTACAAATCAACCGCCTACTAGCTCATCTTTATTTCCAAGTTCTCTTTCACTCTCATCCCCAGGCTGCGGGCTTGCCTAATAATCTCTGACAGAGTATTTTTCTCAGCACTGCCCTGCTTTCTAACTTGATTCACCTTTATGCTTGCCGGGGACAGTCCACTGCTATGTGGTCGTACTTCAAACACCTATAACACTTTCTGCCATCTGTTACATCTTGTGGAAAGTTATTCTCAGTAAGCGCGGTGTACCGTATCTGCTCCTGTGGTCCTGTCCTATCGTTTGTACCAGTTTGATAATAGTTACGCCGACCACTCTTTTCTGTGTCCGTCACTTCTCCTACGTTCTCCACCCTCTTTTGCGGTGAGGCATTGACCCATTTGTGCTACTCATATCTCCGTAGTAGGGGTACTGTGCCGCTCTCTTCTCCAGTGGCCTGGTTACTAAACACCTACTGACTCAACATAACGCTGCAGGACTTGCTTCTATACTGAGCGCTAGCTGCTTCACTTCCTCATACCCTTTGCAAGGATCTACCCTGTGGAGCGCCCCTACAGTTGGAAATGTTCCGGCCACACGCTGAGATTATCGAGCAGGATCTGCGCGTATTCTAGTGAACGATCTTCCAGCTTACAATCTGGGTTGGCCTACCTCCCCAGCTTTTCCAAAGTAATGCAAAAGTCTGCTACTCCTTGATCAGGTCTTATCTTGGGTTTCTATGTAATATCTGTAAGCGCTCTCTTTCTTCCGGCTGTTGGCTCATGCGATAATAACCTGGCCAATTCTCTTGAGACCACGTCCAGGCTGTATTCCTTGGTCATTCTAGGGAGTGCTGTGAACACACCTTCGCTCGACTCCCAAGATGATCATCCCCAAGGATCTCTATAGGAGCTGCTTCGCATCCTATACATTCTTCATACTTTCTCCTGAATCTTCTCACAAACTCTTCAAAATTTTCATTTGAAGCACCTGTGAACACTCCAGGGTCCACGCACGACATCGACCTTAGATAAGTCACTACGCTCTGAGATACTGATGCATCTGCCCTTCTCGTGCCGGCATAATCGAAACTAGCGAGGGGGAACGTGGATTGGCGCATCTTCGCGCTGTAGCAGGGACCCTTTCCCACACACCAGTTTGTCTACCAATCCTCGGCGCGCTAGATTGAACCATCCTATCTTCAAATTCTATTGACTCTTCTTTGAGGCTCAGAAGTCTCTGCAGATCGACGACTTTTCTTTTTACTTGCGATACATAGTGTTCAACACCTCGCAAATATCCGCCAATGCTGCGCCGTCTTGTTCCATGGTCCTTAAATATTCTCTCCAATCCTCCACCCCCTTGATCCCTCTTTGCTTCAGGTGTCAGCAATCTCCTTTTGTAGAAGCGAGGGCAAACCTTTTCCTCCTTGACTTCTCTTCCAGAGCCCTCCCATCTCCTCGAATAGCTCTCAGCCATACGCTTTCCACGCCAGTCCTAGCTTGGCTCGAAAGCTTTGACTTCGACAGGATCCGGTTCCTCTTTCTTGAGTTTCCTGCAAGATTCGGAGATCAACCTTCCATTCCTGCAGTCCCACCTCACTTTTGTCTCTCTCATCTACTGATCTTACTATATCATGTGGTACTTCACTCTTTTCCCCCATCATAGCTTCCTGTTGTGGATTTCCTCTCTCCACAAGCTATCACTGTCGGGTCATCTTGCTTTTGGAGCCGACCCTCAAATCAGTACCTTCCTTCCCTCCTTTTTGAGAATTGTACTTGTTTCTTGCAGAGTTATTGGTCTCGTATCGTTGCCTTGGTTTGGCCCCCATGTAGTGTAAGACGGATTCGTCTGCTACGACGTGGAAGTAAACCTTTTGGCTGTGCGTGTGAGACAAGCAGTACAAAGGAAGGTTCACTAACAAACGGAATAACAGATGTAAAAAGATTGGATAGATGTCTTGTACGAACGGCGCTCGGAGGTGGTTGGTGTCGGGCGAACACGAGGAGCAAGCAGGGAATTTATGTCCACAGCGCGGGTGCACGGCGCAACCTCTTCCAACGGCCACACAGGCTTTCTCCGCACAGCCACTAAGGCTTTGCAACACGAGCCACTAAGGCTCTCTTCACTATGCCACTAAGGCAAACACCGATGAGCCACTTAGGCTCCCTCTATACGGCCACTGAGGCCCTCTTCCCTCAGCCACTTAGGCAGTCTATCCGGAGCCTAGGCCCTCTCTCTCACGGGCCCCTACAGCTCCCACCGGAAACGCCACGAAGGCACACTGAAACTGGAACGCTGGGTCGCTGGAACACAGGAAAACCAGACAGAGCTCGGGAACACCGGAGCTCTGTAACTGGAACTGGAAGTAGAATTACATAGGAACACGGACCCCTTTTATTGGGACCTTCCCGCCCAAGTCGTTTCCCTCTGGCAAAGTGGCCTCCATGACCCCCCGCGATCAACTCCTACCACCTCCCTGTCGATATACCGCTCAGACCAGCTGATCTACAGCTGATCTCTCGAGGCCGGCATGTCCCTTTTTGACAAATGAAGTTTTGGAGGACGTAATGTGAGCAAGGGTCAATTTTTGTAGGGCAAGTTTCAAGACGCTTGCCAAGTTAATGGGCAGTCATTTTGAATAAGAAGTGTTCTCTGTTGTTTGGAAGGACATGTTCTAACGCTGCTGCGCTCACTATCACGGTTCGACCTTTCCGGGTCCACACTTACTTTGTCACCATATCTATGCCCATCCTTTATATGTCAGAGCGTATCCGACCTGTCAAGATGATGGAATGTAGGCATCTAGAGTCGTAAAGACTTATTTGTATGCATATATATGTTCGGAATTCACATAGCAAAAGCCTAACCCACTCTGAGTCCAACACCTTATGAGAAGATGGTGGTTCACGAAAGGGACCTTGCGCTGGGAACCGCCGCCCAGTAATACTAGAGTCACTGAAGAAGATCAACATCTACAGCGTAATGGCGACGCGTTCAATATGAAAGTAAAGCAAGACAAAGTCTGCTTTTTTCTGAGGTCGTCAGACCAGCGGAGAAAATTCATAAAAAATTGGAGACTGTCCGG